ATTTGGAACAAATTAATAGAACATTTTGACCTTGCAAGTAAATTTAATTGTTTTCTCCCTGTACAGGGTTATTTATATTCAGGTGTATTCAAAATTCCTGATAACATTATTCATAGATGGGGCCATTGAAGAATCGCAGGTCCGTGGACCCGGTCCATGGAGGGGGTCCATGGAGGGGGTCCATGGACCCGGTCCATAAAGGGGGTCCATGGACCCGGTCCAGACAAGGGGTTCATGGACCGGGGGTCCATGTTTTGTACTTTCCCGACAAAAATCTATGAAAACAGTAAATTTAGTGCACCACAATCCCTAGCAGTATCCCTAGCAGTATTCCTAGCAGTATTCCTAGCAATATCCCTATCCCAGTGGTTCTGCATCATCAGTTCACAATTTTATTTTAAGTCCACAACAGGTGGGTTTCAATACAAAATTTCTATATTTATTTTATGTGGCCTAAATAACAACGCTGTTTCCAAGCAGCATATCTGTTTAGTGTCAAGATTTTGTGTTATAAATATTACATGTAAATCGACTATGAAATATTCTAGCAGTATTAAGTATATAAACTATATTTTTATCAACATACCATGCGAGGTGAACAAAATCCGCATTAAAATCACTTCAAATATTGTACAACTGAACAAGTCACACGACAAGAGAAACAATATTATTTGCTTGATTGTATTTAAAAATAAACAATCCATATTTTCACGACATTTTAGAGAAATACCATAATTAAGTGCAGAAAATTTCCAATTCGTTTATTACAAATTCGTCCGTTTGTTTATATTCGCATAAATTATATATTATTTAATTACTATTTTACATATTTCACACTGACAATACGTCAGACTCCGTGTTTTCCATATGACTCCGTGTCACTGACCTATTACGAAAGTCACCGAACTGTGGAATCGCATCAAAAATTTGTATATCGACCACTCCCACAAACGTCTACGACCGCGCCTACATAGTTTTGCATGTTTACAATTCTAATTTTAAACAGCCAATCGACGTGTCCAATCGTGGCTGTTCAAAATTAGAATTGTAAACATGCAAAACTATGTAGGCGCGGTCGTAGACGTTTGTGGGAGTGGTCGATATACGAATTTTTGATGCGATTCCACAGTTCGGTGACTTTCGTAATATACTTAATATATCTGGAGATCGTGCTCCAATACCTCGTCAGTCAAAAATGTGTGGCCAAAAACATGGCGGATTTTGGCCAACTTTACGTCATTTTGACGTCACAATCGACCTAAATTTATGGTGAACACCACTGATCTAAAATACAAACGTGAAGAAAAAAGTTATTCACACCCCCCTTTCAATTTGCTTAAAACAGAAGGAAGTAAATTCAAAATTTCGGTCGAAAATTTCTATATTGAAACGAGACATTTGCAACCATGCCAACTTTTTGTTCAATTCCTGGTTGCCAAAAATCTACGGAAAGAAAGGACCTGTCCTCACATGCGTATTAAGGCTCGTATAATCTCTTTTTTTGTAATAATTTAACGCATGCTGTATTTGTTGTATTGAATGCGTAAAATTGTGAATTCATGAAATTTATTGGCAAGCAACATACAATACAATTTATGTTAGTGTACTACAGTGCAAAAGCAGAACAAAATTTTAAAATATTGACAAGCTTGTGGAGCTGTTGTCGAGCAAGTATTTATTTTCATGCAAGTTGATGGATGTGATGCAGTGATGAAATCCTATCGATATCCTAACAGATAATGCAATGTTAAAAAAATTCAAATGAGAATTTTAACAATGTGATAAAGTACAAAGCCTTTCACTCATTGTATTGTCTTTATTGTGGACTAAACCATGTGTTGTCTAGTGTGGCATTGTTTATATTGTAAGTTATAGGTATCGTATTGAACAGTGTATTAACTAGACACTAAAAACAATTGTTCATTTACTTCAAAGCTTTCCAGATGAGAAGAGATTCCCTGAATTGCACAGCATATGGGTGAAGAATATAAGCAAACTTATGCCAGTGAAGTTTGTTCCTATGAAAAATAGTCGTTTGTGTTCAAAGCATTTTAGTGCTGATATCTTTGAGGAATGATTACAGCAAGAGACCAGTGTTATTAAAGCCATATGCTGTACCAACAATCTTTAATGATTGCTTTGGTCAGCTTGGTTGTGATCTTTACAGTTTATTATCAGTACAATTAATGGTCATACTGTACATGAGGGGTAATTAACCCATTAAGCGCCAGTGCTCTCCCCTTGACGAGTAAAATTGTCTGGCGTTAGACAGAGTAAAATACTAAAATAGGGTGCTTCGCCACTCAATGGGTTAAATTTATTCCTTAATTTTTCTGCTAACAACTTTAAGTTATTTGTACACATTTGGTCTGTTTAGCTAAGCCAAGATTGCTACATTTACGTTTATTTTGACTATTTCTGTTAGTGTACAAATTAGGCTAGCATAATTACTGTAGGTGCTGACCATCAAGTAGGGATTGACATGTATAGAATTGGTTGAGCAGTTTATTTAATTAAATTGGTGTTGTATGTGTTTAAAAATAAAGAATAAATTTTGTTGTGATCTGAAATTGAATATATTATTTATTCTTATTACTAAATGTAATTATACAATTATCTTGAAAAATCTTTTTTTGAATAAAATATTTTTTTAATAATTCTTCACTGTCATTCCAATTGAAGTGTTCCTCAAATATTGATTTAATACATTACCTAAGTTCCTCAAGATATTCATACACTTCCTAGTATAATTGTAAACTTCCTGTTAAATGGTTTGAATGCAACAATCACCTTTGTTGTTTGTGCAACTAACCAATCATAAATAGAAAGGAAGTGACCAGAAATGATTAAATACTTGGAATTGGCTCTTTCACAGGAAGTGTATGAATATCTGGAGGAACTTGATGAAATGAGATGCTTGTGTGATGTTACTCTGAGTGTATATCCACACAGGCAAGGCTTGAAAAATATGCCTGGCCACAGTGGGATTTGAACCTACAAGCTTTGGAATACTAGCCCAAATGCCAATGCTCTGTCAACTGAGCTATGCGGTCAGGTCGGTTTGAATCCCAATGTGGCTTGGCATATTTTTCAAGCTTGCCCGGTGTGGATATGCACTCAGAGTAACATCACACAAGCATCATATTCACAAATATCATGGTTATTAGATTACACTGATATCGAAGGAACTATACTCAGTTCCGAAATATCGCATAGTCAAACTGCCCCGACTGTATAGCTCAGACCTTGTTCACATGAACCCGGGACAGCTTTATGTCCCGGGGCAAGCTATTGTCGCGGGACAAAAATTGTCTCGGCTCGTTAATAAAAGAATAGTGCTGTTCACATGATATTTTACTTGTCCCGGGACAAGAATCGACCCGAGTGACTCGCCTTTGTAGACAGGGACACTCGTCTAGCCGGGATAACTTTTTCTCATGTGAACATACGAAGTTCGTACCTCGGGACAAAATTCACATATTTTCAAGATGGCGTCCAAACAACCTCGTGGTGGCAACAAGACCAAAAAGTGGAAATGGACAAATGACATGGTAAAAGACCTTTTAACGTTTATTAAAGAATATAAGTCGAAGAAAGAGTTCGAGGGTGTCGACTTTGAAGCGGATCTCGTAGTATTTTACGAAGAATTGCGAAGATTGATGTCGATTAACTTCGACGATAGCGATTTTGGTCCAGTATCCGTATCTGAAAGTCCAATGCTTTTGCAGGAGATGAATGAAAAGGAATTGAAAGAATTTAACAACGAAGTTAAAGCTGAAAAAAGCGCAATTAAAAAAGGGTATGATCGAGTTAAAGAGAAAATAAAAGCTCTCAGACAGGACTATCGTAATGCTGTAAACACTAGTACAAGATCTGGAAGTGGCAGAATAATACGAGACAACTGGGAGGATTTAACGGAAATTTGGGCTGGTTCACCTGCGACAAAGGCTATAGCCAATGGTTGCACAACTCGAGAGATCAATGGAGAAAGTATAAGCACTGGTTTTGTGGAGACTGATGATGAGGAAACATTTACGAACAATCTCTTCGAGAAAGAGGATGATGCCAATTCACAGGTTAAGCAGCCAGAATTACAAGATGTAGAGAACAACAGTGAATCGGAGGAGAGTGACACCACACTAGATTCTAGAAAGAGAATTGTTCCAGTCAACTCCACTCCAAAGTTTGTCGACAACAAAAGAAAGAAGTTAGAGAAGCAGCTGTCGGCAAAGCAAAGAGATATGGTTCTTATGAATGCAGCAAAGAAAGAAATTGATTTGAAAACTAGTATTGCCCATGGGTTGCTGGAGTCAAACAAAGGTATTAACAGTGCAATGAGTAAAATGGCAGACTCCATTAGTTCCCTAGGAACTGGACTAGTTCAGGGATTTGGATTACTTGCCCAGGCATTATCTCAAAACCAACAACAACAACAACAAAATCACCCAGCCTTTGGGAACTTTGGTGTGAATTATCAACCATTAGCAGGGTTCCCCAATACCCAGTACCACAGTCAACGTATAAATCACCAACGGGTTGCTACTCAGTCTCAGCAATCTGAATCAGGTGGTGCAGATAAGGGCTATGTCACTTTGGAGTGACTGATTGACTATTATGACATTGTATAATATTAGTATATATACACATATATGTTAATGTTGTGTTGACATACCAGTAGGTATAACAGTCATTTGTTTTATTTATATTTAGCTTTAAGCATGCATAAATTAGAGCACAGACAGTTCCTCAAATGTTGATTTTTTATTGTTGATATTAACCCATTCATTTCCCTAAATGGTTCAAACTACCCAACTAATTATGATCTGCTTGATTATACATACATGGAGAATATTTTGGGAAAAATGGGTTGGTAACTACTTACTACTATATTAAAGAGAACTGGTTCATTGTTCTTTATTACATTTGTGTTAAAAAACATGTTATTATAACTCAACAAATTGTACAAGTGTCTCTTGTTAATCTATTTACAGGCAACAATTTTATTCCATATATTCTTTCAGATATGTAGTTATAATCTGCCTTATGTAGGTTCCCTGAGCACTGTTGTAACTATAAAGTTGATCAATAACAGAGTGATGGTGACAGTTTTGCATGAGTTGTTCCCTTTGAATTTGGCTCTGAACAATATCATCATTTATAGTGTTATTATTACTTCTCATTTCACAGTAGTTGTGAAGTACAAAACAGGCATAAATAACAGTTGGAAGGTCATCAAGCTTGATGTCCATTGGTCGTGTAAGAATCCTCCATCTAGCTTTCAGACGACCAAATGCACACTCAATTTGGTTTCTAGCAGATCTTAGCATTTCATTGAAGATCACATGTTCATTTTCAGTGCAACATGCATGCTCCTTCATTACATTGGGCAAAAGTGGGTATGCAGGGTCACCCAAGATAACTGGAGGAACTTTATCATCACCAGGCAAAAGTTCTTTCAATACCATTGGAATTTGCTTATTTTGAAACATTTTGTTGATGTCAGAATTTGCAAAAACTCTGGCATCATGAACACTTCCTGGCCATTTAATTTCCACATTTAGAAAACGTCCTTTATGATCACATATAGCTTGACAGTTCAAGGTGTATTTCATTTTGTAACAAAAGTAATCATGAGGATTTTCTGTTGGCTGTTTAATAGGTATGTGGGTTCCGTCAACACAGCCGAATACCTGAGGTAACCCAAACTTTTTATGGAAATTATTAATCAAAATTGACATTTCCATTTCACTTTTGGGTAAATTCAAATACCTTGGGCCAACTCTCTGGTTTATTGCTTTGCAAACTTGTTTTACCACAGTTGATAATGTTGACTTGCCAACCCCAAAGGCATTGCAAGTCATCAGGTAAGACCCTTGATCCTTAAGGTAATAAAGTGTCATCGCAACTTTTTTCTCAGGTGACAAAGCTTCCCTAACTGCATTCAGATCAGGTTCAATGTCCATTCTCAAGTGATCTACTAAATCTAGAAAGTCCATTCTAGTCATTCTTAAGTTTTTTTTCCATTCTTCCTCAAGTGTTTCTCCGTTTATTAAGTTTTCCCACCATAAAGACGTTCTTCCAGGGTTTATCCAGTGTTTTCTTCGCTCAGGAAGCTTTCGCCTGGTTGCATGAAGCCTTTCTGTTGAACGATTTGCATCAAGGATTGTGGAAATAGCTATTTGCTCATTCTGCCTCCTTTTTTGATCCAGAAACAGTAGCAAATGAACGTTTACCTGCAGGAGAGCTATAATTGTACTCAAATTTGTTAAAATAGCACAAAGTAAAACAATATGTGTCGTTTTTGGAGGCATAATCCGTGAATATTTACATTTTCCTGTTTACCGCCAAACTTATTTAATTCCCGCCATAATTCAAAGAACTTGTCCCGGGACCAATATGAACGCGAGTAATGTTGTCCCGGGACAGCGAGTTGCCTCGGGTCAGAAAGTTATCCCGGGTTCATGTGAACAGGGTCTAATACTTGTTTTCCAAAGTGCGGACGTAAAAAAACGATCGTCGCCTGTTTCTCATGGATAATGACCAATCACAAACGAGTAAAGCAGCGCGAAAAGCAATTGAAAAAATCGAGGCTGAATTTCACAAAATTCCGGCCAGATCGCCTGACCTGAAGCCGATTGAAAATGTCTTTCACTTGGTAAAGAAAAGTCTCGAGAATGAAGCAATTGCTAATAATATAACGTAAGAAACGTT